CATGATTCCTAATATTGCTTAGTACAGGTTGTGCACCTACAAATTTGATACTCCCATCAATAGGCAGTGTTTCATGTTCCAAATAGTTCTCATAACAATTTGGCCTCTCAAAGATGATATAATTCTCATAGCCAGTTCTCTTTCCATATGATTCCAGTTCTCAGAATCTACCCATCTATGGAACCCACAAGACATTGTGGGATACCTTCCACATCCATAGAACCTCCGACCTAGATTATTTTGTGTAGTGGCTCTTCTCAAAGGAGATTTTACTCCACAATAGCAATACAATCCTTCATACATTGTATGCCGATTTGATGAATTGCTTGATGGCTTTATATTAGTACTACAATAGATACTGCAAACACGTAAATTTAAAAAAAAAAAAAAAAATACTCCTAACAACTAAATATTACTATGCATATGAAGAAAAAAAACTAGCACAAAAGAGTATATATATATATATATATATATATATATATATATATATATATATATATATAGGAAGGCTCTCATGCGGTCTAAAATAACGTACTTTTTAACGGATCAAAAGTCAATTAGGAAAATTACATTTTATTATTTTATCAGACCTAACAATAATTAATTTACCATAATTAGCCAATACCTTTATTTAATCTCTCTCTCTCTTCAATCTCTTCCATCGTCCCTGCAATCTCAACCACCACCACTCAATCTTTTTGCACTTCGATTTATTTATTTTTTATTTTTTTGCTCTCTTTATTTTTTTTCCTTTCATGGCCTGAGTGTTGCTCTCTTATTGATTTTTTATTTTTTTGGTTGACCCATTATTCAACCTTTGTGAATAAGCGTTTTTTTTTTTTTTTTTGGTTCAAAGGATACCAATTTTTTAGGATTCGTGAATAAGTACAACCTCCAATAATGAAGTCTCAAACAAAAAGCATATATTGCTTACTCTTGCCATGAAAATAATAAAAGGTCTCTAAATTTGGGTTTTCTAGAACTCCATACCTCAATACTAAGACCGAAATAAAAAAATCTCCAAATTTTGGCAATTTATTGGCTCTAGATATATATAGAAGTACTTGTGTTTAATAGTTGTGACTTGGATCCGATTTTGGAGAATGAATATGGTAGTCGTTTTGTGGCTGTAGTAATGAAGATGGTGGTTGTGATGATGTAGATATGACACTGATGATATGAATATGGCGGTAGTGGTTGAGATTGCAAAGACGATGGAAGAGATTAAGGAGAGAGATATTGTATAAAGGTTTTGGCTATTTATGGCAAATTAACTATGGTTAGGTCTGATAAGGTAATAAAGTGTAATTTTCTAAAATTGACTTTTGGTCCGTTGAAAAGTCCGTTATTTTGGACCGCATGAGAGCCTTCCTGTATATATATATTCAAATCTAATATATCTGTAATATAAATAAATTTAATTGAATAAGAAAACTCATTTTTGTCCAAAGCCCCTTCCAGTTAGTTGCAGAGAGAGATGAGTATGAATTTGGCAAAATGACATATAAATGGGTTATATAGGTCACAAGGCTATAACGGTCACAAAAAGGGCATTTTTGGCATTATGATACTTTGAACAGGCGCGTGACATTACACACGCCCGGAAAGTTGATCCGGTGACTCCCAAGGGGGTATTTGCACACTTTGGTATTTTAGGGGGCTATTTGCAACAAATTAAATAGTTCTGGAGGTTTTTAGGACTTTTGCCTTTTTAAAATGACAAGAACTTTATAGTTGGAACAAGCTTCCTAGTCTACCTGTTTAATTACTCGGACAAACAAATTGTATTTGTTTCTGTTTTTGGGTAAAGTGAAAATTTTGTAACCTTTCTTTTTTTTCTTTGGCCTGGCAAACAAGACAAGATTACATCACCAGATTACATGGCAAACAAATAAGAAAACTAAACATCTTCAGGATTAACCATAAGTAATGGGCCGAACCCACTAGAACCTATTGGAGTGGCTTTCTTCCGACGCTTCAACAAAACCATCATTACTAGCTATAACAGGTGGGCCCACAACTGACACCACCCATCATAATGCGATAAATAAGGACGACATATTTGATAGATTGCCGGCGCGCTGCCATCCCCGTTAGCTCCATCAGCGTGAACCCCATCTGCAACATAGTATCCCAACCAAGCATAGTTAGTAACAACAAAATCCACATCGAGTGCGAACTAACTTATCCATAGAGTACGACAACATCCAGCCACAACCTAGAGTTAGTGACGACCGGATTAGACACAACGTGGATCGGGGAAGAAGAAAGGGCCGGCAAACAAGCTATAGCAACATGTCCATGAAGCAACAGAACGTAGGCCTCCAAACTCCAGATTTGATGAAGCATAAACATCGTCCGTGCAAGAGTGAATAACTTTGGTAGCCAGATGTGCCCAAAAAGACGTGGATGATGCGTTAGTAATCGCCGCCAACACCAAGACAGTAAAGGCAAAAACAGCCTCGGATAAAAAGAAATATGCATAATACCCAGAGCAAACGAGAAAAACAGCAACAATGGGGTCGCAATCCGTTCAGTGCGCGAAATCCCCAACTTTACGCTCCACAACTCTCTTTTACCCTTTCGGTCTGGCAAATCAGAGGATTGACAGAGATGAGAGTAGGAAAACTCCATCTCATAGGGAGCACCTAAAAGCAGAAAGGAGGAGAGAAGAAATCAAGCACAAAAGTAACGGAATTGACAAAGGAGGCAAAAGGGAAAAATAAAGGATTGATAGAAAGCAACAGAAAAGGAAACGAAAGATGAGATCACTCTAACGAGTAGAGAAACTCCTATGGGAAGGAGAACTCCTACTACAAAGAGGATAAAACTTTTCTATTGAAAATTTTGTAACCTAACCAACCCAAATAGTTGGAAGACTCTTCTTATTAACTATAACATTTTTTATTAGGTAAATTGCATTGACACTCTCCTGAAGTTTTGGTTATTGTCACTAAGATGCGGGTTAACGACTTTTTTAACAATGACGCCCCTGTGATTTCAAATGTCATATTTGTCCCTGATTACTTAATTGAATTAATTTATAAAATATCAGCCTATAAATTGACGAAAAAACCCTCATCATTAAGCTTCTTTCTCTACTATAATATTTAACAATTTTTTTTTGGTTCATTTTAGTACTCAGTCTCCGACACTCCCACTCTCTCTTCCCGATCTTGGACATGATTGGTTTTTTTTTTTGGTGGTTGGTCTAGGCTGGCCATGATTGTTTTATTTTTATTTTTTACTCTGGTGGTGGTGTTGTTGTGTGGTTTGGGTGTGATTATATTGGTTATGGTGGTGTCTAGGTTATTGGGATATTTCAAAATTTATAATTTTATTTTTATTTTTTCTATTATGGTGGTGGTGGTTCTGGTAACGTCTAGGTGTGTTGATGGTATTGTCTTGGTGTGGTGGGTGGTGGTTCTGGTGGCGTTTAGGACATATAAGTATGGGTGGGTCATGTTTGTTTTCAAATTTATTTATTTATTTTGTGGTGTTTGAGTGTGGTAGTGGTGTACAATTATTTGGCTATTCTAAAAAATAATAATTTTATTTTTGTTTTTATTTTTATGTTGGTCGTGATGGTTATAATGGTATAAGTATTATTATATATAAACTATATATAGAATAGATGAAGAGGTTAGTTAAGTCCATTAAATTTAGTTACGAGGTTAAATTTGTAATTTCATGATTTAAATAGAGTTGTTGACAAGTTCATATAGTTTCAGAGGTCTGAAGGGGTTGTCCATGCCATTGACCGACCGCTAAGTGGTGTTGACCAAAACTTCAAGAGGTGTCAGTGCAAATTTTTTTTTTTTGTTTTTTGGTATAATTAACTATTATAGCATGAGATAGAGAGAATGGGAGGGAGAATTCAATATCAAAAAATGTGGGTAGAGAATCACATAACAATATAAGGTAGGAAGAAAAGTTCAAAATAAAGAATGTTAACTACAAATACCCAAAAACAGTTGTCTGAAAAAGAATGTATTATTAATCCTACGTTTGCTTAGATAAAGGAAATACTTAATTATATATATTTTCTATCAATAGCAGAGCCATGAGGCATAAATCAAGGAGCAATTGGCTGCATTCATCCCTCCGTCCATAGAATTGAAATTTGTGTTTTTCTAATTCTACTAAAGAATTCTGTGATGTAGCGAAGGTCAATGCCACTCAAATGGAATATTATATGGGTGGGTGGCACATGATGTGGAAGAATTAAACTCATAAATTAGATGAAAAAAAAAAAAAATTATATTGGAGCCTAATTGGCATAACATTTAATTTTTCGAACGGGTATACCGTGTTCTAGTACTCCAACCAAGGGTATTATGGTCAAACTCGTACCACTAACCAACCCAAATTCATTTTTGGGGTAAATATATTATTCTTGATTGATTAATCAATCAAATTATGAAAACACATATATCATGGTAACAGAAATAGAAGCAGAGATATAAATCTTAACAAATATATATATATATAATTAATTATTTCCTTTATCTCAGCAAAAGTAGGATTAATAATATATTCTTTTTCAGACAACTGTTTTTGGGTATTTGTAGTTAACATTCTCTCTTTTTGAACTTTTCTTACTACGTTGTATTTGCAGCCCAAATGTTTAACTGAAAAATGGGCTTGGGCTAAAATTATCACAAGAAGGGAGAAGCCCAGTGTTTGTGAGAAATTCTTGCTGGAGAAGGATGTGGTAGTTCTGATTTTACTTTCATTTTCTATCTCGTTGCAAGTTTGTAATTCAGTTAAAAAAATGGTCTAATTTTAAAAAATCTTAATCTGTTATTTTTTAAGTTCTTGAAAATTGTTTTAATGCTATGTTTGGTAGTACTAAATTGAGCGTCTTGGATTTAAGATTAAAGAAAATTTAGTCATAAAATGAGAGAATTGAACCAACCCACCCTATAATTTCCAGTTGTAACATATTCCTTGAGATGTTGGAGGAGAAGTATCGGATCAAGCTCAATGTAAGTGTATCATCATCAAAAACCATTCTTACAATAAATAATCGTGAATTACTAGCCAGTACAAATGCCCATGTTATACATACATTTCATGTGATCAGACACAAGAAAAATGTCCATGAAAAGAATAAACATGTTTGGAAAATCTCAAAATTTTAAAATTATTCTCTAGATGAATTCCAATACATATTGCCTATGGACATGCCCAAACATGAGCAGGCAGTTCTACACAAAAACTAAGTACTCCAAAATTGCGCTTGGTTGTATTGCATTCTAAATCTTCTGCCATTTTCTCTCACTTTCTGGACAACCAAACGCGAAACAGAGTAAATAATACAACAAATTGTGCTCTTCAAGGATATGACATCTCATCGAAGGGGAAATCGTGAATGTGTGCTGAATCCATTTCCCAGATCTTCAGTGACGCCGTGACATTCAATCCGGTAGCATTGTTAAATAAGAATACGCGGGCTGCTCCGTAAATAGCCTTTGTTGGATAAACTCGCGATGTGATGGCTGTCCTCCCTCCTTGAGCAAAGCTCTCCACTATGGAATGATCAACCTAAATTCAATTTTTTTTTTTTTTTTTTCAGTTCAGATTTATGACTTGTTTAATAACATATTTTTCGTCCAAACAAACTGAGTCTTAACCAACGTTTATATTATGTAATTTTAATAGGTTCACTTTTTTGTCATGTAAAGGGTTGAATAAGAAAATAATAATAATAATAAGAATAATAAAAAATTTCACATACCAATAATCTCATTGTGAATTTTTCACCATCCATCACAGGTACTACGCCGCCGTAAATTCGTTGATAAACATCAGAAGCCTTTGATGACCTGCATAAATCATTATTTTATGTTGCCTCAATTATAATAATTTGATTAATTGTATAAAATAGGAATCCAAAAAAAATATATACTTTCTATATGCACTTTGACAATGGACTAGTAAAATTGCAGTGCATAACATAAGCTTTGAAGAGAATTTATATATATTTAGAATAATAATAAGTAGTCTAAAAGTTGAATGTATTTGACCATTTTATGTAAGTAGAGAATAACGCCATTAAATATGATGACATCATTCTTTACTCACATAAATGTGTCCGACCCTCTGCATCATTACTCGTATATTTAGAGAGAGGCTGGGTTGACATATAAGCAAACCTAATTTCATCTGCACAGAACCAAGTCTTGGAACTGCCATCAGTGTCTTTGGCAATGTAGAAATAAATTGGTGTTAGCTCAGAAAGTGATTCATCAGCAAGAACAAGTAGACCAAAAGGTCCCAAAGCACCCCTCGCAATAGCACCACCAGTGCAATTGTAGTTAATATCGGCTTCAACCGTCGCCTCCAACGCTGCTACATCTATATCAAATGTTGCAATTATGTCCAACTGTCACAATTTCCAAACAACAACGTGTAAATTGTAATCACCATCTAGTCTTAAAAACTTAAATTATTCGAAAACTGATGACAATTATTGACATTAACAAATAATTTGGTAGCTAGTCTTGAGAAAATAGGACACGGACCTGTGTAGCTGAGCTTATGTTCAGTGACACGACTGATCCAGGTCCAACCTCCACATCACTGAATTCGGTGCTGTTCTTCCTCAAGCCCTCTACTTCCTCCACAGGCCAATGAAGTAAGTTGGTTCCGGTAGTATTATCAAACAATACGGTCCTTGGAATGGTCTGTGGATCGAACCCCAAAGATTAATTATTCGAAACCAAAAATTTTCCCTCTCTCTCTCTCTATATATATATATGTACAAAATGAACAGGGCGTGTAACTCACAATTGCTTGCTCAATCACAAACATTAATTAGTCACACTAAGATTGTGTATGATTCAAATGTTGATGCATACCTGAACTGAAGACCATCCCTTCAAAAGGTCAACATCTTCTTTATCAGTTTCTCCTATCCAACCCCATAGGATCCGCCTTTCCTTTTTCGGGTCATAGAAGGTCTTTGATGCATAAAATTTTCCGCAATCCACCCGTAACCCGATACCCACGTCCAATTCCGGGTTATCGGGTGTCCACGCATCAGTAGCCGGATCGTATGTACCAAGGGCATAATAATCATGCTTATTATCATCCAAGCTTGCCTTGAGCACGTGCTTAATACCCGGCCCATTAACTGATGTGTCTAGCCCAGTTGACCCGTTCAGTAAAACCGGGTAAAAGTCCACGCACTCCCACATGCCCGTACCCGGAACCGCATGCATAACCCCCTCCAAGAGCTCGTAGGTAGTGAAGTTAGTGGTTTGGTACACGAGTGCAAAGCCCGTGGTATTAACCTTTGACCCAATTGTGACCCGCCACACCCCATCCGGGCCAACCCATGCCGTGGTCGGGTCTCTAAATTCATCAGTAGCAATGCCAGGCGGAGGGACCAGGACCGGGTTACCGTCATACTTGACCCAATCAAGGAGGAGAGGATCCGATAAGTTGGCGGGGTAGGCAAGGTTTTGCACCTGTACAGAACTATTTGTGTCCCCGGTGTAGAGCATAACGATCTGGCCATCGGGTAGGATCGTGGCAGACCCGGTCCACACACCCATCAAATCGTACCATCTATCCGGGACCATTGCAAACGGGAGGTAGAGCCAGTGGATCAAGTCCCTTGATACAGCATGACCCCATGTGATGTTGCCCCAAATAGCAGAATCCGGATTGTACTGGTAAAAAAGATGGTACCACCCCATGTGATACAATGGACCTGCAACCAAGCATTGTTACCCGTTATTCACACACACACCCCACACACACACACACACGGCCACACAGGTGAGTAAGAAATTTTTTCACAGTGACTCTTCAATAAAATTGTTATGTTTTTAGGTACTTATTTTTTAACCGTCAGATCTTATTCCACGGTCACTTTGTTTTGTGTGAATAAAAGTTTCTTGTTCACAGGCCCGGCCCGGCCCGGTGTAAGAAATTATTCTTGATATATTATTATATTTGTTATTAAAAAATATAAAAATTAATAATACCATTGTTACCCATAAGGTTATTTGGGTAATTTAATGTTTAGCACATGTTGTGGAGTGTCTGATCAAACAAGTGTTACGTACCAAAATTAGTAAAGCATTCTTTGTTTTCTTCCCAAGAGTTAGGTGGGTGATATAGCAGCGAACAGTCAAAGGTCCTTATCGTGCACGTTTGTGAATTTGTACAGACCTTAATCAAATTCCTCCTAACCCTAGCAAACAAAACTCATTATATACTACACATTCATATATATATATATATATATATTATGCCTGCCCAATAGAATGTTACTAGTCAACAATATCCTTGATTCGCTTTAAAAATCTTGAAATAAAAACTTTTTACTTTTTAAAGTTATTTTAAGGAGTTTGCATTTGTTATATTTGGTAGTCCAAACTAAGTTTTTGATAAATTTTGTACTTCCTAATAAATTTAAAAATTAATTTTACTTATTCCCACTACTACTTTTTGTTATGTCATTCACACGCAACCTTAATAACTTGAAGTGATTTTGTATTAGAACTCCACCATTTAGTCAACCAAGACTCATACCTAAATTTTAATTAAGAGAATAAAATACTGTAATTTGATCTAAGCTTGATGTTGGTGCGACCTAAAAAAAAAATAGTAAAATGGTCGTTGTCTACTATTCAAAAATCAAGTTAAAATCGTAAGAGGTCAAATTTCGAATGTAAATCAAACGCTAATTAAGTGAATGATTTCATTCCAAACTGTTTACAGATTTTATTTTTTACTCAACTCTCACAAAATTAAATCATTAATTATTAAATTTACTATATATAAATAAGATTGTGGAACATCAGTCATTTATGGTCTTCCCAGACATTGAAAAAATACAAATTCACATAAATAATGTAAGATAAATTTTAAGAATTGTATAAGACAATATATGAAAAAATTTAAAGTTAGATTTTGATGACTTTATGGACCTACAATAGTCATTTATGGTCTTTCCAGAAATTGAAAAATAAAAAATTCATATAACTAATAAGATAAGTTTTAGGAATTGTATGTGACAATATATGAAAATATTTAATTATAATTTTCAATAATTTGATGATTTTGTGGACCAAAATGGTCTAAAGCATAGCATTTTCATAGTGTACAATAAGTGCAACAGGACAAGTATGTGGGGTTGTATCATCATCCGTAATAAATTGACCAGTTAACTGATTGGCCCAACTAGCCATCCCGAATGAAATGGGGCCCATTTCTAAATTGGACCGAGTTATTGACCATTTTTAAATTCTAATTATGAACTTTTCAAACTAAAAATTTCTATCTGACTAAACAATGAAAAATGATATATATATATATATATATATGTATGTATGTATGTATATATTTAGGAGGATGTGGGAGAATGATACCAAATTGCAACACGTAAATGTAATTAACAGTCTAATTAGACGGCCACTTTTTTAATATTTTATTTTAAATTTGATAGCATTGCTTGAAATAAATAGAAAAATGGTTTTATGAAAATTGTTGCATAAAAAAAGAGTAAATTAAGAAAAGAAAAATAAAAAAAACCCATTTTTTCTTCTAGATGTGTTTTTTGTTTTAAGTTATTAAAAATTAATTTGATCAGATGGTTAGGATCTTTAGATCAACGTCAAACCAATCAAGTTGAAACCACTTTTACACTTCATAAGTTTAGTAATAATATTATTAAATGTTTTATGCAACGAGTAATTTAAAGTCATTTTGCCCTTCTAGACAATATATATATATATATATATATATATTAGAAAATTAATTTACAAGCAAACAACTATACTTTAGTAATAAAAGATAAAATATTGCACAATTTAGGCAATAAGCTTGATTTGCTTATTACCAGTTAAGGAAACACAAAATAAAAGAGTTGTATAAGAACGTACCATCAGGATCTGTAGCAGAAATCAACAGATTCCCCAAGAAAGCAGCCATGAAAATTCATAATAAACGTTATCAGTATGTAAACTGTGTGTGTGTGTGTGTGTATATATATATATAATAGTCATAAGTCATATATTAACCAATTAAAGTGATGTGTAATATTATGTACAATATTAAAAGAGGGGTTGAACAGTAAAAGTAAAAGTAGCAGTAGTAACCTACCATTCATCCAATTTTTTTGAGGTTGAAAATGGTATGATGTTCTTTGCCATGCCAACATAGCATTGGTCCATGGGTAGTCGTCTCCGACGCCGGAGTAGTCCCTGAAAGTCTTCTCCGACACCCCCTCTGGTTTGCCTCTCGACGGTGGCAAAAGGGTCTCCGGCGGAAACCAATACTGATCTTCTTGTGGACCCTCTTCTTCTACTTCAGCTGGGAGTTCCGGTGGACCCTGGTTTAGGATCAGAACTACCAATGACAGTAAGAACATTACGGAGAGGAAGATTCCGACGAGACCCGTCATGGGTCGCCGTTGACCCGGCGTAAAACGGGCGGGTTGGGGTTGGTCCGGGAGGGGAGTGTAGGAAGCTCCATGTTCAAGATGATCATGGGTGTCCATTGTGTTGCTATGGTTGGGTTGAGACTTGAGAGGTATAGTCTATAATGGTGATAAATGAGTTATATATAACGTTAAAGAGAGAGAGAGAGAAAAGTGTATGGGTCAGATAACCCGGTTGTGTGTCAGATGTGGATTCTCCGGGTAGAGGTCTGGTTATGACTTGTGAGGAGGACTAGTTGGTCATCCAGCTTGGTTGGAAAGGGAGGTATGCATATATGTATAGACAAATCCGGAGAGAGAGAGAGAGAGAGAGAGAGAGAGAGAGAGAAATTTAGAGAGAGAGAGAGATGGGGGTAGCTGGTGTGAAGAGTCTTATGTGGCATGGAGTATATATATGATTCCTCTTTGTTCTGCGTTAAAATGGAGAAGGCTGACAAATTTAGCATTAGGTCCCACATGTTCATTCTATTCCTTCTAACTGCATCACGGAAAGCAAGTTTCACCGGAGAGGCAATCAGGATTTTCTCCGGTGAACTGAATGATCTAATGCATTTTAAATCAAGGATGTACGACATTAAATGGTCCACATACAACAAACCATTTCATTTCGGGAATGCAACAACCGATGCTACAGAGTTATGGCTTTTTGGTAATCACAGTTGTTTTGTATTTTTGCTTTAATTCGAATTAGAAATAATGTTTTTGTTTTTAGAATCTGTTCAATACTATTTAAAAACTTGTTTGGTAACCTAAATTTGTTATAAAATTTTTAGAAGTAAAAACATAAAACATGTTTGATAGAAAATGTTGTAAGTTTGAAAATTTGAATGGTTAAATTAAAAATATTATTTTAAAAGAATTTTATTTAAAACATCATTCGATTTTGACCTCGATTTTGAAAGCAATTAGTATTGTTCAAAAGCACAATAAATATTATAAAAATATACTTCGTACTTTTGTTTCGCTATAATAAACGCGTTCACTTTTATATTTTTATTCATTCAAAAATAAGTATCTCACATAAAAAGTCAACATACTATATATATATATATATATAATATTAACAATTTAACTTTCTTACATTTGACCTATAAATATTAAAGGATCACTTCCTATATACTATACTCACAAGGGATAAATTCGATAATTCGTTGTTAATATTATAAAAATATTTTTTTAAAATATATTAATTTTTTTAAAAAAAATACACTAATTTTGGAGCGCACACAATAATACTTTTTAAATTGACATATCTGATTTAGTGGTATTGCATCTTCAATTTAATAATATTATGTAGAGGATGAGATCTTGTACCGCATACATTAACACCTATTGATTAAAATCAAATTAAGTTTGAAGGGTGGGTAAGATCGATGTAGCTTTTTATAGTTACAAACACGTGATTCCTTAATGATAAATTTGAAGCCCATTATTTGTTAATTAATTGTAAAAGTAAGTTGTAGTAGTAGGTTTAGTTCTCCACATTGTTTTTGTTGTTGAAGCCACGACGACACCAACCTCCACATATGTTGGGTTAAGAGTAAATCAAGTTTGAAGAGTTGGTAAGATACAGTTATAGAATTTGAATCTCATATGAAAAACCGGTACAGTGATTGTGGATCACATCATTCAAACATCACATGTGATTTTCATACCCATGTGATTTTCAATTTCATTATCTAACACGAGACACCATACTCGTAATGGCGTGTCACCACTTTAAAATAATTATACAGAAGAAGATAAAAATAAACCATCAATAAAAAATTGATTGAAGGACCAATAAGTGGTTAGGATACGTGGCGATGTGATGCTCACATATATATATATATATATAGTTGTGGTTCTGGATAGACAACTAACATTGATTGGTTGGTTGTCAATTTTATTTGAAAAATTAATATAATATTTGTTACTCAAATTGTTATTACTCCAAAAGAAAATAGTGAATAGCCATTTCAGTCAGTCTCATGTTTGATCCAAAATTATCGGATTACAATCATGGACGGATCTGAAAGGAGACAATAATGAATATGTTTAATAATTTTAAGGGGTCAGTAGTAATATTTTATAAGTATCTAAATGACAAAAATAATAAGATATAATAATAATAATAAAAAGATTTAGAATAACATTCATGAAAATAAAAATCATTAGTCCAAACTAAATGATTGTTTTAACTTGCACAATTTTTAACTGGACACTTACTCATTTATTTAAAGAATTTAAATTATTAAATAATATTATATACCTATCTATTTATATTCTTTTTACTTAATTTGAAATAAATATCCTAACCACAGGACCATCTTAATATTCCTTTATTTTCACATCATAATACACTAGTAAAGAAGAATTCTGCAAAGTACAAACCGACCTCACACGTGACTTACGTGAATTATCATATTTTTCATATGACATAAATGAACTTTTAAAAATATTAATACGGTCTTTGATTTATGACAATCCAACTTACCGCCTCACAAAGTTTGCGGACCCTTTTTCTATTGCTTTGTTTACCATATGCTTGTCCTTTTTTTATTTTTTTTATTTTTTATTTTTTTGGTAAAATACAACCACACCTCTTAAAGTTTTATAAAAGGACACTCAAAGGAAATTTACCTCTTTTTTTAACAAAGACACCACCTGAAAGTTTAAAAATGGACAAAGATACCCATTTACATGAAAAATTGACCAAATTACCCTTTAACCGTTTAGGAGACTTTTTAACTTTACAATTTCATAAATTGGACCAATTTAACCTCATGAATAATTTATGCATTTAAAAAAAGTAAAAAAAAATTATATTGTTCACTCTTTTTTTTTTTTTTTTTTTTTTTGTTATTTACATTATAAATGTCACAACTTCTTAAAAATGTAGACGTCTAAAATAATTTTTGATAAATTATATTTTGTTATTACTTCTTTTCTTTTTCTTTTTTTTTTTTTAAATTAAAATGCATAATTCTTTCATTTACAAAAATTAAACCAATCTTTTTTCCTTAAAAATAAAAAATATTGTACCAGTATAGCTTTATGCATCTTAAATTATATATCAAATATTATGCATTTCCCAACATAAAAGAAAATAGATACCATCTTAACTTTATGCATGTCTTTGTTTTTTTTTTTTTTTTTTTTTTCCCTTTTATTTTGGGAAATGCATAATATGATAAATAATTTAAGATGCATAAAATTATACTGGTACTATATTTTTTATTTTTAAGGAAAAGAGATTGGTTTAATTTTTTTAAATGAAAGAATTAAGCATCTTAATTTAAAAATAAAAAAGAAAAAGAAAAGAAGTAATAACAAAATATAATTTATTTGAATATATGTATTGGATCAAAAATTCATTTTAGACGTCTACATTTTTAAGAAGTTGGGACATTTATAAATAAAAATAATAAAAAAGTGAACAATATAAAGTTTTTTTTTATGCATAAATTGTTCATGAGGGTAGATTGGTCCAATTTTTTAAATTGTAAAGTTAAAAAAGTCTCTTAAACGGTTAAAGGGTAATTTGGTTAATTTCTCATGTAAAGGGAGTGTCTTTGTCTATTTTTGAATCATCGGGGGTATCTTTGTCCAAAAAACAGATAAGTTTCCTCTAACTGTCCTTTTGTCAAACTTCAGGGGATGTGACTGTACTTTATCTTTTTTTTTTCTTTTTTTTTTTTTATGTAAAAATATAGGTTGTCTAGGGGTACTGGTTTACAATGATTTAAGCTCTCTATTCATGGAGGTAATGCCCAATAAGTCTCCATTTTAAAATATATTGCGTAATAAAAAATGGTATATCGTCAAAGTTTGGATCGGAAGTTTTGTGTGAGAGAGTGGCACCACATCACAAAACCCTTCGATCAAATATCTCTGAATTTAGATGTCTAAAATTTCGAAATAAGTACAACTTGCGTTGGATTTTTTTTTTTCCTTTTCACCTTTATGAATTTCTTACAGTGTTACATTATAGACAATTACCAATTTGATATCAAGAGTGATGATTTGGTTGAATTAGGGGTGGCAAAGTGGGTCACAATTTATTAATCTGTCCATATTTGCCTAATTTTAATAGTTTTGGATGAACTTTATTTAAATAAAATGTGTCAAAAATGAGTTGAGTAATTTTTAACTACTTAATTTGAGGGTCAAGATGGGTTAAATATGAATAATAATATTCAATCCATATTTCACCAATCGCATAATAAATACACAACACACATGTATTATATATTACACTAAACTCATTTATCTCTCTCTCAAATTCTCTCACTCACATGTATCTAAATTTGACTCTCATCAATTCCCTCTTTCTAAATTTCTCTCCTATAAATTTATTCTCTTTCCTTCACTTCTCTTTTTTTAAAACGAGTCAATAAATATTGTTGAGTTTAAGATTATTTTTTTAATTTGTTATTAAATAAAATTTTAAAACCTTCAAAAAAAAATTTAACAGTAAAAAAATAATTAAAATAATAAAAAAATTAATAAATAATAATTAATAAATTTATGAGTCATAACGAATTAATTCTTAATATTTTTTTACTCGTTAATTTTTAAACAAATTAAATACGAATCTTGATTCATTTATTTTTAATTCAGTCCAAACCCAATATAATCAGTCCATATGTCACATAGGTAGTATTTATACTTAGAGACGATTTTGATAATTGCGACACCGATATCAGATATGTCACAAATCTATCTTATCAATAGACATCAATAAATGTTTGTGTGTATATATATATAGCCATAGACATTTCTGCGTGGGCCTTCTCACTGAATTATTCACAGAACACAACAAGAGTACCTTCCCTGACAGTGGAGACCACAACGAAATTGCGAAGAGAATTAGTGCTCATTCAAGGCCAATAGATGGCACAGCATTTGTGTATTAGAGCAACCCAGCGAGAGCAACCCCAGCGCGAGCATTAAAGTGTACAATATCTCCGCCAATGAAATGCTTTTCTCTGCACATTACACACAAATGAGGTCCATACAATATTATACACTCCACACTTCATAGTTAAAGAATGGAGTAGTGTGAGCCTTTGTGTGTGATAATAATAAAAAATAAAAAAATAATATTGTGTGATAATGTGTAGAATAAATATTATATGTGTATTGGATTAATTAATTAATGTAAAGATAGTCAAATTTTAATTAATTAAAAAAGTCATTCTTTCTAAATAAATAAAAAGAGTCATTTAATTTGCACAAACAAAATATATCTGTTAAGAAAAAGACAAACATAATATAGTCTTTGAGAAAAATATAACCGTTAGTAAAAAGACAAACAAAATATAACTATTGAGAAAAAATAAATAAAATATAACCGTTTGTAATATTACATATTCTCTATAAATACCGTTACATTTCTATTAAAAATTTTCATCATTCATCAGGTAGTTAACTTTCTCTTTCTCAATATTCCTTTCATTTTTTCGGACGAAATTTTCTTCCTTGAACATTCCATGAATTAACGACCTCCATTGCCCCTTTCGCAAAACTCTGAAGTACAACCACAATTCAATTATGATTTTTACTCTTCATGATTTTACCAATCCGAAAACTTATCTCAATCTCAATTCTCTTATTTCCAAAACCCACCACATTCTCAATACCAATCTCATTCCCAATACCTACCTTTTTCCCAATACCAATCTCCTTCTCAATATCTATCTTCTTCCCAATACCAATCTCATTCTCAATACCCACTTCCTTCCCGATACCCACCTCATATCCAATCTCAACCTCCTTCCCAATATACATCTTAATCTAAACCTTTTCAATCCAAGTCTAATTCAAGGATATATAGGAAAAATTAGTCTACCCTTAATATTGGGAAGATCCAATAACAGGTGCAGATCAACAAAGTGGTATATAATGGGGACGTATCAATGCTGATTTCAAATGCCAAATGGGCGACATAGAGAAGAACCGACAGCAGTCAGGTTTGTCGAATCGTTTCACAATAATTAAGCGAGTAGTTGGCAAATTTAATGGATACCACCAACAGATCCAAAACCAATGTCGAAGTGGATATGACGTTGAAGATGTCGTAAGTTTCTTACTTTGTAATAAATTTCTTACGGTCTAAATTTCCTTTAAAATAAATATTTATTTTAATTGACAATATGTCTAAATATAGTTTTTGTTTAATTCTTATAACACATGGCAACAAAAACACTGTATGAAGATGAAGAAGGGGAGCCATTTAAGTTGGAGCACGGTTGGAATATTCTTCGAAAATCTTCAAAATGGCTCCAAAATTGCGATACAATGAAGAAACAACAAACACCAAACACAAATAAGAGAGTTATAGATCTTGATATGAATGAGCCTAGAGATTGTTCCGAAATAGTTTCATCAACACGAGGTTTAATCCCAACTAATTCATCTACTCAGTCAACTTCTGCAGTATCAACACCAGGTTCGGTAAACCTTGGCGATGACGACTCACCGGCCATTGACGAAAGTTCACGTGACATTTCACGACCTATTGGGTGAAAAGTTGCCAAGAAGGGTCGTAAAAGTAAAGATAAGGTACAAAATGACTTATTTCTTATATCGTTTCAAGGATTTGCCGAGCAAAATAAGTTGATAAACAACTTTGCACTCGAATCTCATACTTTAAAAATGAAATCGAAATTCGATTTGGGCATAGAGCAAAAACGAACACGGCGATTGGAGCTTGAGCTGCAAAAAGAAATGAAATTAAAGGAGCTTGAGGCGCAAAAAGAAATGAAGATGATGGAGATTGAGCAGGAGCAAGTTTTTTGGGAAGGACAAATGATGGAAAAAAATCCAAATGATATTGCAACACCGGCGGTGAAAGCATGGATCGAGGATCGACAAAATGAAATTATGGCGCGTTATGCAAAAAAGGGCAATTAATTGTAATGTTTACTATATTTTTTTACATGTGTGGAATGTATTTTTTTTTCCTCAGTTGTATTGTTTTATTTTATTTGTAGGAAGATATGTAATGCACATTTTTTTTTTTATATGTAATATTATTGTTTTTTAATATATATATATATTTAAAATCTTATATCTAAGTCGGAGCAAATAATTATAACCGTTAGTATTATAGTTGTTGAGAATAAAACTGTTGGAAAAAAATAATAATAATAATAAAATTTATTTTATTATTTTAAAAATAATAATATAATAAAGTGTAAAATGAAAAAATGAGGACACAACAAAAACTTAGAGCTTCTAAAATAAGTGTACAATTAATTACTGATATATCTATACATTTTATATAAAGTTATTGACGTGAAAATAATAATATAATAAAGTGTAAATGAAAAAATGAGGACACAACAAAAACTTAGAGGCTCTAAAATAAGTGTACAATTAATTACTGATATATCTATACATTTTATATAAAGTTATTGAGGTGACTATACACTTTTATGTAAAGTGTACAATGGGAAAAAAAACTCCAGCGTTGGGGTTGCTCTTGGCAATTTAGTACCAAGACCAAAGATTCACTGCAGTACACGGCACGGTATTGTATTGCATCAAACTCTGTGGTTCACAGCTTCACATGTGGTCCACAGTTGCTGTAGTACAACATAATATTTTAAAATTGTTAAACGATATGTCAAATTGATCACTTGTTCTCCTGGACAAGGATTTCTTCATTTGTATAGTAATTCTTTTTCTTTTTATTTATTTATTTATTTTTTTTTTGTGAATAAAAGTATATCTCAATATTTTTGTAAAATGCATTCCAAACATAAATGACATGGTCATTTTTGGACCACTCATTTTAAAATAAAAGAAATGACATATTATTTCACTTGATTTTCACCCTTGTTCCTCCTTAATCATTTCGCCAAAAAACAAAAGAAAAAAATTCAAAGAAAGAGAAATTAATTGAGTCCACTCCTTTTTTTTGTGTCACTGTTTGTGCATTTCTATGACATTACTTGTTCCTCCTTAAACTTTTTCCTTATTAATATACTATACGACAAAAAGGATTTCATTATATATATATGTGTGTGTATAAATTTGATGTATTTTAAAATCAGGCCAAATAAAGAGAAAATTAGAGTTTTTCCACAGACACTAAACCCTAAACCCTACGTGAAAAAATAAAAAATAAAATCACCATTAAGTTTTTAATGTTTTCTTTTTCCGACTCCAAACATTTCATCACAACCAAACATAAAAATTGATCTTCACATTGCCTTTCCTCCCTTAAATTAACAAACAAACCATTGATTGGCAACAAGATAAAAAAAAAAGTTCAGGATTTGATATTGTTGGGCAAATAGTCACTCCAGGTTAATACATGATACAGCATTAGATGGAACAATAACATAATCAAACAAAATATATTAATTTGCATTTAATTTAAATTAAATTTTAAAAAACCAATGAACAAATATATTTCCTTAGATTCCAAAAATTCCCTCATAAAAAATACAAAACAAATGAACTATACACTTGGAAATGAGGGCAAACTGGAGAGCGACAAGAATTTACAAATGAAAAAGCTCTGAGCAGTGACCATTTGCAAGCTTTTCTCATGGCGGTGACTTCACTCCAATCCTCCTTGATCAACTCTATAAAACTCCGGAAAATGTAAAATCTTTGTAATGCGGTATATAGATTTACTATATAGTATACTCTTCTTAATTATGTTACATTCATGCTGCATTTGACTCCTTCCAATTTACCAGTGACTTGAGAAACTCCATTACCTGCATCAACCGATAAAACATGCAAATATTCAACAATTATAACTAAGTCAAATAGTCAATAAATTATGCTTCTTGTTCTTGTTCTGTTCCTTATTATTCTGACCAAAATGGCGATTGGTTCTCTAGAACAATCTGAAAATAAAACATAATTTCAATTACGGAGAATCAATTGTACCTCTGATGGATCCCTGAGAGAGTAAAATGCATTGCTTTCCTTGGGCGCGGAAGACACCAAGATGCCATAACCTCGGTTACCCTCTCTAAGAAACTGTTAACAATTCAATTAAGTTTATTTACACTACTAAATTAAATAAGAAATGATATTTACACATCAGATAATTAACTGGTGTTATAACAAGGTTATTGAGGCATTACCTTAAATGCGTCTTCGTCTGTCCGGTCGTCTCCAACATAAATTGGGAGTACATCATCACAATTACTTAACCCTACATCAAATTTTTTTTTAGTTGTTGATTCATTGTGACAGGAAAATATTTGACTATAAATGAAAAGCAATAACTTGTTTAAACTTGTATACTGGATCCAAGTATTTGCTCACCTAGTGATTCAAGTAAAAACTCAACAGCTTTCCCCTTATCCCAATTAAGCACTGGCCGAACCTCTAAAACCTAAAATAGGAATAATATAATAAAAATTAGAGGTCAGGGAAAAAAAAAATAAAAAAATAAAAAAAAAATTATTAATAAAAAATGGATCAATCTGTGTAAGCAGGATTTGAGAAAAACCTTTCGCCCATGTGTCAATCGCAAACGAGGGTAGTCTTTCAAAATTTTGTGTACAGATTCCCCAATTGTTTTCCAACTCTGAAAATAATTTAAAAAAAAGTAATTATAAGAGCTTCTATTAGCCAAACAATACAATCATCAATCAATTACTCATCCAACCAATAAACTTATTTAGGTTGTACTGCGCACTAGCACGCCCACCTTCTCATCTACATTGCGGTAGTGCACAGAGACGCAGAACTTATTGTTCTCAACTTCTGCTCCGGTAATTTCTTTGGTAATCTTAACAAGGGATCTAAAAACCTGCTCCGGCATGAACAAAATCAGAATGCATGTGTTACAAAATGAAAGTTTAGAACTACTGCAAGGGTGCACCACATCCAATAACATTGTGCAAAGACATCTACCAACCTCATTGATCATTGGTAAGAATTCACTAGCAGGCTGGAACAAATTAACTTCCTTATCCTATTTCACCAAAGAAAAAAAAAAAAAAAAACCGATGTCAGATAACATTCGAAAAGAAAGAAAAAGGGTGAGTGAAGCTCAATATAGTTCTTGCAAGAAAGAAAATTATTGTTGGCAGATTACCTGCTTGTCAGTGGAACTCGTACCATTCAGATGGACATCAGGAACTGGCTGCACAGGACCCATAATGTCCATCCCATGACTACCAGCGTAGTAGAGCTCTGTTAATCCTACAAATTCGTATACCTGAATATATGGGGGCATAAAACTAGTGATATCAACAACAAAGACCATCAAGAGTAACAATATCGATAGAATATACTATAAAATTGCCACAGAAAATGTCATAATACAAGAAAATAGAAATTGAACAGTGGCTAGTTAAGTACTTTATCACGGCTTCTTCCACTAATTATTGCAGTTGGAAAAAATTTTGCCACATTTTTCACAGCAGCACGCATCTGAAAACAAGTAAAGGGGATCACATAAGAAATCAAAGGGGCTGAGAAAAAGAGGGAGTTTGTGCAAAAAGTCGACTTTTTTACATGAAAAACAAATTTAAATAAATGGATTCTCACTGCATTAGACATGGAGGCACGGTCTGGGTTATCTACAATTGGGGAGAGAGTGCCATCATAATCCAGAAACAACGCTATTCTCTTGCCCTTTGCACAATTTGTTATTTGCTCAAAAGTTGCCAGTGCTGACGGGTACTCAAGCTGCAGTAACACAAGATGATAACTAATTTGTCTAAGATTCCATTGAAGATTACATCTGAATTGTGAGCCAAACAACAGAAAAAATTTACCATCCAATTGCAATAAGCAACATCGGTATCAGATGGAGCTAGCTCAGTGCTAGAAATTTTGGTTGCCTTCTTATGGGTAGGGGACGAGTTTTTCATGGCTTCAAGCCAAGAGCTGTTCCTTTCCAGCTTTCCTGGCTTCTTCCTTGGGATTGTTAAGAGACCAGGAGAGAAAACGATGCTTCGAGATGGGTAAGGCAACAGAGCAGCATGGATGCCTAATCTTGACTTACTCATGGGTGGAGGATCAGTGAGAACAGGAGCACTATGATTCGATTTCAGGTCCATCTGATCCAGATTTGTTAAACGATATGTCACCTTGAATACTATGCAATAGTGGACTGAAGGTCCGAGCAGAAAAGAAAGCAGTCAGGTTTCAAAACCCCGATTTCAGACTACCCTTCGAGCCAATTCTCTTGTCAATGAAAAAAAAACCGCCTTTTCAAGGTTTTCTGGTCACAACTGGTTGAGGAGCTGCACATCAAGCGCAAGACTCCTGAAAACTAAAGGCAAAAAGAACGTATTGACCGACAAGTCGATAGAGATCAGAATCAGGGAGATTGCCAAACAAAACCAGTGTCTTACATGTAGTACATTCTCATCACCTGACTCAATGTCTGTCTAGATCAGGCAACAGAAAATATCTGCAAAAAAGCATTTAGACAAATAGTGAGTGGTACAGCTACCAGATCTCACAGAAAATTTCTCATTATGTCAACATTATAAGTGTGTGTGTGAATCAATGTAACATACATATGCAAAGTCAAAACTTTTAAATCTGTAGATCGGCATTGAAATGCTTGGTCTAAACGAGTAATATGCTACCGAAACTAAACTAAGTATACTGACGACAGATAAAATAAAAATGCATAGACCATAAAGCAGAGGGGAAAAAAGGAGCTTTCAGACAAAAACTTGTATCCTCCATGCATAGCATTTGACAGAAATTCAAAATAAGATAAAATTTTGAGATGAATAAAAGGAACCGACAATACATATAAATAAATTTCCAAACAAACTAATGGAACGAAATCTGCTATTCGTTCATAAAAAAAAATATGAGCTTCCGCAAACATTACTTGAGCAAGAAACAGGAACTCTTAGGCTTCCCTCATAATACAATTAGTGGGGGATCTTCGGTGGTTTTATAATGTCTACTCTGGGAGATGAAAATCATATGCTTACACATCTCGTTACCTCCTTGTGGTTTTTTTTGTTGTCTAGACTTCTTGTTGTCCAATATTTATGTTCATGAATAAAGGAGGTTTTAATTGAATTGAGAAAAAGACTCTTACTGGAAAACAAGATCCATGTAACAGACACCAAATAATTGGAAAGACTTTGTGGAGTTGAATAAAGAAAGGTGTTATAGTATTTTAATAATGTCAAGAGTCCCCCAATTACTTGCAGAAACTAGAATACGAAATTAAGGTACTGTAAATATCAAAATAAAAAACATTGTCCTGAGACTCATCTACCGGTATGAGATTTCAAATAAACAATCTACATGCTGTAGTACTTTATATTAGAGACAGCTACATTAAATCTGGCACAGGCTTCATGAATAGCTACAACGATAATGGTGATGACAATAATGAACCAATTATAATACATCAGCTTACATACATTGTATGTAAGGCGTATACACTTCACTCTTAACAAGAATTTTGGTTTCACAAGAACTACTTGTCTCTGCAAACAGATACCGACGTTATGGTCCCACTTAATAGTGAGAGTATTAAAAAAAATCAAAGAGCCATAGAGATCAAAGACGAGATAAGATAAATAACACATGCAGAAGTAAAATACGAGATAAGCATTCATAGCACTAGTAGAAAAAATATATTCAAGTCACCAGTTTGTGTATGTGCTAGTGAAAATTTTTGGTAGTGAAAATTTTTGGCCCACATATATTGAAGTGTTCCAGCCCACGGTGAATGGGAAACAATAGCATATGCGCACACACTATTGGCCTACGTATATTGAAGCATTGGGAATCATTAAACATATGGACCTAACACAAAAAAGATTCATAAATACACCTACCAAACCAAATAAAGATAAAATAAAAATAACAATAAATTCAATACTAATGGAAAAGAATATATCCCCATACTTTTGTTGTCGTCCCATAACTCATTGTAACCACACAAAAGAACAGTTGCCATACTTTTGTTGCTATCCCACAACCCATTGTAACCACATACAAGAACAGAAGTAGTTTAACATTTTTATCATATACATTTTTAATGATAAGCCCCCTCAATATACCATGCCGGCACATTAACCATTATGTTACAACAGCTTGGGCACCCAATATATATATATATATATAAAACAAGGGTAAAGGGCAAAAAAAACCCTGTACATAAAATTGTGCACAAAACAACCCTCCTGTTCAGTATGAACCCCTCAACATTTGAAAAATGTGTTCACAACAAGACTAAATAGAGAACCAAGCCACTGTCAAACAGTAAAGTTCAAGAAGAAATTCAAGTCTTCTAAGAAAGATACATATGTTTTATATGTTTTATGATCAACAATACGACAAAAATCAACCTTGTGATATACCAACCCGTAAGCATATTTCATGTTTTTAAAAAAATATTTTATTCACATTTTAAAAAACTATCCCATTCAATAACAGTGAAATTGATTAGGACTTAAGACAGACAACTAATGTTTGGATTGTAATATTATATGGAATAATGTGAAGATGAAAACAATGACATTTTATCATATTAGCTTATTCTAACACATACGGCAGACAAATCACAGAATCAAAGTCAACTATATATGTGCTGTGTTTGGGAAAAAAAAGGGGAATTAACCAAACCATAAGTTCAACTATCTAACCGACACCAGAAATTTGGTACAATATCAAACATGACACTTGGATACAAGAAAACAAAATGAACTGAAAACCTGTCCAACACCGCCGTTTGTTTCCAGAGAAAATAGTTCCTACATATAATTTCCGAGAAAATGATAAATATCATTCATTTTCTGTGCAAAAAAAAAAGTATTTCCTCCCAAAATCTGAATATGGACTATAATCAACTTTAACATTCGATTCTTATTAATAAGAATATTATTGAGCCCTAAATCAATTCCAGATTATAATGCATACAAAAAGCAAAGAAAAAAATATCAATTAGTTCCAAAAGAGTAATCAAATTCAAACAAAAAAGCTCAGTTTTGCAACATTAAAAATCAACAACATTGCTTGCAAATATACAAATCTTATTGAGAGGGAGCGATATATATATATATATATATATATATATACATACATACATACATACCTGTTTGAAGAGCACAAATGCGAACCAATCAATTAGAAACGAAACACGAGACAATATTTGGAATGCAGATCCAAACGTGGACGAACAATATATAAAACCCTCCAAAACCCTTAGGAAACAGAGCTCTGGTAAATATATTGACTTCACAGCAACGAAAGCTCCAGACAATTGGACACAAAAATCATAGAAATTGCACAAATAAATATATATGTGTGTGTGTCGTTGACGAATGCTAAGAGGAGAGAAACGAGAAAAGGAAGAGAAGCGACGGGGAAAAGTGGTGGTAATTTATAGAGTTCCGGTGTTGGACGAGTCGTACCCAAGAAGGCAAAACTCGGTTGTTGAACCCGAAACTTCAGCTGAAACTTTCAAATTTCTTTTCCCACGCTTCTTTAACGCGCGTGTAAACCCAACACCTGTTTCTTCATCTTCTTTTTATAGGAAATGTCCTTGCTATTTCTTTGCTTTTGGTCCAAGGAAAGTGGGGACCGTTATGGGAGACACGGACACTACACGGATTCAACGAATTCACTTAAATCCTTTGATTAATTAGTCTTAAAAAAAATGAAAAAATGAGACATTTCCCACATAAAAGGGATGTCTCCAATTTGTGTAAACTACCCGAACATAAATATTGTACTAGTATCTTCAAAACATAAAGTCCGGAAAAAAAAGTCAAAATTATATAAGATAAATATCTCTAAAATGACATGAGTTGTTGGAGTAAAAGTCTCATCGTAAGCAATCACGGCAATAGAAAGGTTAATGTACAATAGTCTAATTCAATTGATTTCCCTCCATATTCACATATTATGCTCATCAAACACTTCCTTGAATAATATTGATAAGTGTTGGAAATTTTAAATTTCAAATTCATTTTGTAATCTATTTTTCTAAAATATATTTTGACTGTTCTTTCTTACTCTAATTGGTGAGATTTAATCTCTCTTATACGGAATCTATTTAGAGCTGAATTAAAAAATTACCTTAAATTTTTTTTTTTCTTTTTTTTCTTTTTCCTCTCTTACTGCACGTGTATCGGCCCACAACACATTCACCATTCAAGTCAAGAGTGTTAGGAGTGCGGTTATAAGGTGAGACTTCAAAAATTTATCTCTCAAATCTCTACCAACACTACTATACCTCTGGACTATTTTTCTTTCTTTCAAAGGCACAGAATTAGCTTCACTAATATTAATTAATACGGAGTTGCATGTTTTTCCATTTATTAGAAGTGTATGGTGAAGCGCGTGGTGCAAAGTCCTTCCAGAGCTGAATTCTTTAATAACTGATGTGGCCCAAAACTGATTTTAATTATTTTAATGAATAAAAACTGCCAAGCTGACTAGGTCCCATGACGAGATCTTAGAAGAACGCGGTGTGACACGTGTAAAACTGACTTTCTGGCCAGCATACGCGATGCCACGTGTGATCTTGTCATGTCTGACGTGGCCACGTGTCGTGCTGGTCCCGCCACGCAGGTTACGACAAATGTGCCAGGAAGGTGACGTCGCTTTCGCTGACAGCTGAGTGGTCATCGGCGACGGTAGGAAGGCACGGTTCTTCAACACACAGTTGGATGACAATAAACCACCTCGGTGATGTGCCACGTGGACCCGCCATCCCCATCCCCATCCCCAGAAATACCAGCCGCACGACATGGGAATGGAGGTGGGCTTACTCGGCCCTGAAATTTAACCACTGGCCATCGATGTCTCCACGTAGTGTTCATAAGGTGGCTCAGTTTGGGGCCCAGTCCGAGCTGGCAAAAGATGGCGGTTTTTTACTACCAAAAGACATTAGTGAATCGGGGCGAAAAAATAGAAAGTGGGTTATGCTTATGCCTTAAATGTTTCTTAAAAAACAGAAAAAAAAGTATTTCTAAAAGAAAATTCGCATCCGTATGTTTAATTTGTGATAGTGCGACAAAATTTATTTGACATTAATTTAATTTAAAATTAAATTTCTTAACAATTTTTGAAGCAATGTCGACAAAATTTATTTTCAAATTGGATAATTTTGTTTAGTTAAAAATGAATAATAATGCATAATAATTAAGAAGAGTGGGATCAACATTGTGTGGGAATGAATGCAAAAAGTTCAAATACACAAAAGTAGAAATACAAATGCACAAGAGCCCACTTTTTCAAAATTGTCGGTGACGTTCCCAAAGCATTTTATTCAAACTGGATCCAACTCAGAAGTCGCCAATTTAATGCGTGACTTGGACGAGAAATTTAGGTTTGCGCGCGCACACACACACCCGAAAGAAACTTAGGAATCCTATAATAAATGTATCATCACCATGTATTTCAGTATTTGATCCTTTAATATAATCTAACTCATTTTAAAATTAAAAAAAAAAATGAAAAACAAAAGAAGAAGAAAGAGTACCCTTAGAATAAGAAAAAAACAAAATGACATGTATTAACATAAAATAAAATAACAAAAAAAGAAATTCATTTTACTCTTAGGTTGACTTGAATCCTCTAGTATATTCTTGATGGTATGTTATTTTCATTTTCTTCTTATTATTTCGAGAGTTCTTTTAGTAATTTCCTATGTAAATTTTAAGTATGAGAAAAAAATGGGAAAAAAAAAAAAAAAAAAAATCTCTTTTTTCATTTTCTTCTTATTATTTCGAGAGTTCTTTTAGTAATTTCCTATGTAAATTTTAAGTATGAGAAAAAAAAAAAAAAAAATCTCTTTTTCAGTTCCTATCGTGGACCCTTTCTGAAGTGTGTTTAATGCTAAGGGGACCAATTTAATTACCGTGAAAATGCCCACATCTATTTTGTGGGCCATATAGCGTACATACATGTCGTAATGGGTGGATACTTTTTTAGCCGGATCTGATGTGCTGGACAAGTACTCCTTGCTTTTCTATTTGGATTTCATGTGGGATAAGTATTTCTTATAATATTCTTTCCTATCTGAACTCGCAATGCCCAATCGCATCTTACCTACCTGGGTGGGCACACCCGGACCCCTCGGGCCGAGGTCACTTGGCGTGACACTTTATAAAAAATTAGATCTGACTTTTATACTAGCTGTAACGGATGACGTTTACTCATTTACTTAAAAATTTAAACTATTGGGTAATAATACACACTAACTTATTTATACCCATTTAAATTTGATGTGGAACAAGTAACCCTTGTGACATATGGGCACACAACTTTTCTATTATAAAGCTATAACTGAGTTGAAACAATGCATTGAAGTTCTCCTTTCTAGATGCTTTAAATTCAGGTTTAGGTTTGAAGAATCAAAACTCCATTAGATTATGAATAAAATTCAGATTTTGGTGGGGTTATTGACACCATTTGAACGCAAATTTCTATTTGACTTTGTTATTTAAGACCAATCAATCAACGAAATGACCAAACTTAGCCCTTTTTTTGGCCATTTGATGCACGTGTGTGAGACAGAAAAGACACTGATTTAGGCTATGTTTGGAGGAGCTTTTTGAATTTTAGAAGGGTTTTGAAGAATGCATTTTAATAAACAAATTTAAAAAGAAAAGGTTGTTTGGTGGATGAAATAATTCAATTTTTTTCAACAATTAACATAATTTTAACTTGACAATTTTATCCTTAACATCTATTCTTAAAAAATATTCCAGGAAAATTTCGGAGAAGAGTACAAACCTGTTAGCAATTGAATTCGCATATAGCAAGAATGAAGAAAATGAAAAAGTGGAAAAAGAAAAGAAAAGAAAATAAAAGGTGGTGAAGTGCTACTAAATATTAGCGAATGATGGATTCATAATTCTATTGTTGTTATGCTTATCAATTATTGAAGATTAATTGTTACTAATAACTTGATAAACCGGAGATATATCCACTATAAAATCATTTTTTACTCCCGAAATTCTTCTCTGGAGGTTGTCGGCAAACCATTTTTATATGACAAGAAAATGATGAGTGACACAATTAGCAAGTGTAAGATAATTCATAGAGAGAGAAATACATGTGAAGATATTGAGAATTAAAAACTTAAGATTTTAAAAATTTAGGAGTATGTTTGAAGAATTGCAACTTAAAGAAATAGGAAAAATATCATAGCATTGGAATTTGGATGAAATACTCTCAAAATCTATTGTCATTTGGTTTATCTATGGAGTGATGTAGATCGACTAATTTCACAAAATATAAAAGGGCAAACTTGTTTATAAAATTTGTTACTTAAAATTAGTTTAGCTTTTAGATGAATGAGTTTTAAAAGCAAGTATTCTGAACTTCGCTTGAACGGACTTTTTAAGACTTTCGCATCTGCTAGAATTCATTTTTCATTGTTTCACCAAACATCAAGATTTTTTAGTAAAGACCTTCATGGGCTTGGAAGCCCGTTTCAAGCCTCCAGAAGCTCCCCTAAAGTCTTTCCAAAGTCTCAATTGACTTTTAAAATTCCTCTTAATTTACCAAATATAAATAAAAAAAATTAATTTCGTAAGCACAATTTATTAGTATATATTCTGAATTAAATATTTAAAATGGAGGGTCATTTTTAATTTCCAAATCATCAGCCATTCTAGTGACTCTATTTTGTGCATATTGATTGATGTTAAAGATTGGTGATTGGGATGTTATATTCCTCTTGAATGTGTTCAACTTGACATATGAAAACAGATGAATGGGCATCAATCGCCTTTTAGGAAGTTTAACTTACTCGGCAATGCCATTCATTTCATATTTGAATTGTATTATTAATACAATATAAAGATAAAAGATATATCTCTTAGGCGAGGGCGGATTCAGAAATAGGGCTGGGCTAATATATTCTTAGATAGGTTAATAAAACTATATATATATATATATATATATATATATATATATATATATATATATATTGATGGGCTTAAGCCCACCAGAACCCAATCTGAATCCGCCCTTGCTCTTAGAATCTCTATTCCTATTTAGCTGAGATTGTAACTTTAGATAGAGTGACATTACAAAACCTGACTGACTTGAAATAATTGGTAATAATATATATATGTGTGTGTGTGTGTGTGTGTGTGTGTGTGTATATCTAAGACAAAAATATTAAATTAGAAGTACTAAGGTTCAAAGCCGAGATAACGGATAGTAACCTAACCTCTGGGCTACAAAAGTTTTCGCAATTGGTAAGAAAACTTAATAGTGAGAAGTGAGAACTGTGAGATATTTGAAGGGGTAGAGTTGAACATTTTATAAAATCTCATGTGAGCAATATAATTTATCCAGTAACATTCACTGACTCCAGCACAAAATTATGGGCCAAATCTGAATATGCGTGTATACATATATATTTTGATATATTCATCAATCATATAATAGAACCAGCTCCATAATAAATTGTCACATTTAATAATCTTGGATTCATCTCCATAGCAAAATTGTCAAATTGCTGCGAGTGGGTCCTAAGCAATAGCAACCACAAGAAATGATTTGGTCAAAGGAACACCCCCATCTCAAAAATAAGATTTCAAAGATGGAAGACTTGAGACATGCTCGGTGGTATTTTCATTTTCATGCTGTGAAGTTTTTGCTTTAAATAAAAAAAGTACGAAATATCTGAAAATTCATTTTCAATTATTTAATTCTCAAAGGATAAGCTTAAAACATAGAAGACTTACCCTAATAGTTTCCTGAAAGCAACCAATCCTCAGAAGAAATATATATATAATAATAATAATAATAATAATTTTAAACCATTCCTTAACAACACTTGGCATCTGCACCTTTCTTTGTTTATTTATTTATTTCTTTCTCTCTCTTCCTTTTTTTTTTTCAAATTTTTTTCAAAATTTGAAAAACTGCAAATATTCATAAAAAGTTGAAGATGAATTTTTTCTTTTGATATAGAGTGCAAACTCCCTACATAAGCAGAAGAAGAGAGATCATTGAAGTTCACAGGTAAAGAAAAAGTATGTAAATGCCGCAAATAAACGATAAAATGACATTCAAGACATTACGAACAAAGGTCTAAGAACACCATAACACCACCCTCTTCAGAGGGAAAGTTCAAGTAGTACAAAATCTCTCCACGAGAGAGTAAGTCCATGACTTGCCAAAGTTTCAGATATTCTCCACTTACGCCTGAATGAGAGGGTAGTAATGCTAGCCGGAACACGCATCTGCTACTAGTAGTTAAGAAAATACAACACTAGCAAACCCAAACTGGGTGATTTGGTACACGTTAGGATGCACTTACAAGCTTTGCCTCAAAGGTTTCAGCGGCATTATGGTTCTTCTTCTTCTTCTCCAAGCATTCGGACAACCTGTGCCACGCCATCTGCAAGCTCCTTCTGGATGACAGCATCAGGCATATCAAACATCCTCCTTTTCATGGAAAGGGATTTCCCAACAGGCTGGGGGTCTACCACGTCAAGCATTGCTTCCAGCTCGTCCACCATTGACTTTCTTGCAGCTCGCACCATAAGATCAGAACCCTGATACAACGTAAAGCAACAAACATTAAATTACAAACTGAACTGAAATCATAGAACGAAATTTAGATTGGAAGCGTACAGCGAGTAAAAATTTGGAGTAAAATCTAAGTTCCACACTAATAACTTCTTGGCAACCATGCACTGAATTTAAACTGAAATTCACTGGTGGTTCATTTGATTGCTGACAATCCTTGGGAAGAAAGCAAATTGGTGACTTATAACGAGTAGGAGTTCAAAGGGTTGGGGCCCAATCTAAAGTTCTAGTTTAGTATGACATTTTGGCAATTATAGAATGTGGCTAGGGGAATAGTTTGCAGAACTTTGTAAAATCACACACTTGGAGCACTAATAAATTCACACATTGTTCAGAAAAGATCATATATTCAACATAGTTAAGGTAACTTGTAAGGAACACAAGCACTGTTAATTACAAGCTTAATGTTGGTTATATTAGACAACTAGACCTCATTGAACTGCACTAAGAAACTCCTCTTTCCTGAATTCATTTCTCCATTGAACAAACTAAAAGCCTATAATCAAAAGGCAACCAAGAAACAGCATGAACGCTTTTCGCTGGATCAGTTCAATAATTATGACTGTATCTTGTTCTTAAAAGTTAGTGACTCTCTTTTCATCAAAGCATACATGTCCATATACTTCATGCAAGACGAAAGCAATATATATATATATATATATATATATATATATATTATTGGTTACAATAGAAGAATACAATGATTTTCAGAAACTATTGTATGGAGCTCTCCGTGGTACCAAAAGCATGCTCAACGAAATTGAAACAGATAGCACTCATTAAAGAAATGCATATCATGTGTTCATCAATCTGAACAAACTAATGTTCACCCAGCTAACAGAAAACAGTAAATGCATCAAACATTAGACCAATGCTATAGGGTGAAATATAGAGAATTGGTGGTTTCCAGAAAGTATATAATTTTGTTAAGTTGGGAATTGTAAATAATACCTCAATGGCATCAACAGTAAGGAGGAGGACAATGATCCTTTCGGAGAACTTCTGGCGCTCCTCCGCATCATGGGTCACACGATGACGGTAGTTGTAGTTGTTGAACAGTGCCCTGATCTCCTTCAACTTGGACTTGGTAAGTGCCAGCTCTCGAAGAGCACGAAGCGCCTTTGATCGTCGGATCAAATAAGCCCTGAAGGTAATCTGTATCATCATTGCTGCATCTTGGGGTGACAATTCCTTCCTCTTGCCCTTGCACTTCTCAAGAGCCCCTAGCCTTTTCGCAAAAGCCTTGAACTCCCACACAACAACAAACAACTCAGCATATATAAGTATATAACAGTTCCTTTGGATAAGGAAGAAGGGAAGGGAAATTCAGGTAACATCAGTCATGATATAATAAAAAGAGAGCTTAGTGTATTAACATCTACTAAAGAGAAAAGATAAGAAAAGGATTGTAGTGACTGTTAAAAAATAGATATACAGACATACAGCATAGATACAATAGAATTCAATTGTTACAACTACTAACCTTCTTTACAAATCCTCTTTACAAATCCTCCTACTTTTGGTAGGATAGTCCAAACATGCTTACCCTCAATGTCTTTTCTCCTCTGTTACTCCCTCGTCCCAAAAGGCCATCAACATCAAAGCACCATTTTGTAGGAGGGATGGAAAATGGATACAAGGGAGATGAGGAGGGTTGGAAGAGGAATATGTATCTCTTTCCTTTTGTGGTAAGGTGGGAAGGAATAATTGGAAAAATTATTGGGTACCCAGGGTACAAACATCCCCAGCCAATGGTAAGTCATTATTTCTGAAAATAATGGGTCTTCATTGGTTGGGGGCACTACAAGTCGGTACCTGGGATGATTTTTCGAAGAGTTCATATGAAAATATGATATTATGACTTTACTATCTCCTACCCAACTCAACAAACTTTCTCAATTATTTGGGGCAGAGACATGACAGAAACTTTATGCTAGTCATCAAAGCCACCTAACACAATACTCCTCCTTTTCCCTAATTGGGAATGATGGTGGTGTAAACAGGGATGGATCCAAAGAGGGCTCATTGGGGGCCGATGTCCCCGCTGAATTTTTATTTATTTATGTTAAACAACTACATGTTTTCTAAAATTTAAAATTTGCCCCTATTGAAGTGATGAAAAAACCTCATTATAAAAATAAGCCCCCACTTGAATTTTTTTGCTCTAGCCTAATCTCTCTTTCTATTGTTTTGTTGAGTAATTTTATGTCTTTATAGATATGCAACTTCAAGAGTAAAATAGTATTTGATTATGAAGTTATTACACTGCGTTTTTAAAATATGAAAATTCATTGAGGAAAATTGTAAATATTATCAATAAAATTATGAATGAATTTTAAAGTTCTTTTATTTAATTATTATGATAATTTCAAAAAAAAAAAAAAATCTTGTTGTTTAACATCTCCCCCACTCAAATAATGTTTTGGGTCCATCACTAGGTGTAAAATATAATTGGCTATTATCAAACAATTAAGTATTCTCAGTTCAACCTAACATATATCTTCCTTTCACCACTGCTTTAACTTTCAGTTTTAAACAAAAGTAAAATAATGGGCTATAAAATGGTGTGCCCAATCGGATGATCCTCTCTCATCATCCCATCCTTTCCCTCAATCCCCATTACCAAACAAGAATCAAGATCCCTGTACATAATAGATCGAGATGCAATAAAAAGGACAAACCCAATGCACGAGGCCCCTGCCATTGCAAGGTCTAAGGAGGGTTAAATGTGGGCAGCCTTACCTCCACAACCGCATGTGGAGAGACTGTTTACTAGTTCCAAACCAGGGACCTCCAAGTTAGAATAGAGCGACACCTTGAAGCACATTCTATTAAATGAATGCAACACGGTGTAGTGGTGGTGTGAGGTATTGCATCTCCATTTAATTGCCCAAATGAGTACAAAAACACAGTACGCAGGATAAAGTTTGAAAGGGAAAGGATATGAAAACGTCGCCGTCTATAGAATTGTAACACGTGTTAAATTAAACAAACATGCTAAACGGTGTATGATTCATAAGCAACATGTATCAAAACATCAGAGTCACACAGAATCATACTAACGAATTTAAATTTACGCACCTGTCTTAAAACGACAGCCCCATGATGATTAGGTTCTTCAATCTCCACCACACGAGCGGGTCCCACTCCTTTCTCACATTTATGCTTCTTATCCTTCTTCTCTTTCTTCTCCGATCCGCTACTATCACCTCCATCCCCAGTCGATGATTTAAACGTGTAGGTCCGCATGTTCGGGCTCTCCTCCCCCTTTCCCTTAATCTCAGCCGTCCATTTGTAGTTCTTCTCAACTTTAGCTTCCTGCTCCTTGTGCTTCTTCTTATGCTTTCCACCTTTGATCTCCGCCGTCCACTTATACTTCCGATCAAACCCGTCCTTCTCCGCATTCTTGATCTCAGCCGTCCACGTATACTTCCGATCTCCGCCGTGGGGCTTCTTCGCTTTGATCAGACGGTCGAAGCTCACCTCGAGCGCGGAGACTCGGTCACAGAGGCTCTGCAAGTAAGGCTCAGCTCCGAGACGACTCTCGACTCGGTGCTGAACCCTCCGAGTCGAAGTATAGAACGGAGCTCTGTCGATCTGGACCAGATCGGTGATTGTGTCGAAGCCATCAAACGGAGAAGGGAACTCGAGGAGGGTGGGGCTAGGGTTTGGGACAGGGTTTAAGAAATCGAGAGCAAAGTCGAGCTCATCTTCATTTGCAAATGAGGGATAACAGTGGCTTAGGGCTAGGGTTTTGGTAGTAACAAAGGGGGTTTCTCTGACGAGAAATGATGGGAAAGTTTCGATAGTCTCAAATCGCCTGAATCGGCTCATGGTTTGTTGAATCGGGCGAGCGATGATAAACAATGATTTAGGTAACGATGGAGATCTGAGAGTGAGATACCGTGATTATATATATATATATATGTATATTTATAGAGAGAGAAAGGTGCTATATAGAGGGAGAAAAGGTGTGGGAAGAGATGGAGCTTTGGTCAGAAAGGAAGGAGGATGAGTCAAAAAGTTTCAGATGTGGATGGCAGGGGTAGAATTGGAAATATAAAATGAGAAAACAGATTCCGAGGGGATTAGGGCGTTTGGTGGGGTTAGGATCGCCGCATCCTCAGAGGGACTTTTGGGACATAAATGTCCCTGGTATTTCAGTTTAATTACAGAAACAAAGAATCTTTTTTAGTACTATGAGATTTGATTGATGGATATAAATGGAGAATGGATACCATGTGCGTTGCTGACTTCTGACATCACTAACTCTATAATTTATTTATTTATTTATTTTCTAGATATTTTTACTTATTTCTCTTCTTTGTAATCTAATATTTTTATTTATTTTCGTAATCTAATATTTTTATTTATTTTTTCTTTTACACTTTATTTTATGAATTTTCTCACTTACGGAGCACTCTCACTATCTCACGATAGTTATTCATCTTTTTTTTTTAGACTGTCCTAAAATATTTGTTCACCTTTTAAATTTAAACAATATATTTTACATTTTTCAATAAAATATTTTTAAAATTTTAAAAAAAATTCAAACTTTCATTATACATATATTTAAACTTGAAAGTCATTATATATATATATATATGTAAATTTGAAAGGGTATCTTTATGAAAATGCAATGAAACGTTCTTCCTATTTGGAAAATTAGTTTTCTACATTTCAAAATATATCAATTCCTTTTTCCTCCTTTTTCCTTCTATTTATAAACTTTTACAAGTATTATAAAAGCTTCTTATTTCGTCTTTCATACTGGGCCGATCCTTTGGGCTCTTCTTCGTTGGGTAAATTGCTCTATCCCGATCTAGTTTTTAGTGAGATGGGTCATACTCGGTCCAGTTTATTTTTAGTATTTTCATTTTATAATTTTTAAAGTGACAATGCAATAATTACTTTTTCTCTTAAAAAAAATTATTTTTTAAAAGAAACATTTATTATAAGACTGGGAATACTTTTTATTTTTGGGTTATTTTTATTTCATATTAGCAGTTTATGAAAAATATCCCACTCATCTCCATTTTGTGGCAATTCCGAATAAATCTGAATCATTTTATTAACTTTTATTGTTCATTTTAGTGCTTGTCAGCCTTTTATTAACTTTTAGTCACTGGAGTGGCGAGAATAATCATCACTTTTGTTTTTGAACTGTTTTTTTCTTACTTTTTCATGGATATGACTTTTTCGTTTCCTTTTTACCCTTAAAGCAAAAAGTTAATGACTAATGTGATTCAATAATCAAACTTGAGATCTAATAGGAAATCAAATATGCCATTGTTTGAAAAAATATTAGTTTAAAATTTAAATTAAACTTATTTTAATTTCAAATCTAAGATTTGAAATTAATATAAATCGGTTCCAATTGGGCACCGCCTTGAGAGTTTAAGGCCAACCGTTCCTAGCACTAGATGGATATTTATTTGAACCAACCAACATCATGCATACTTGTTTAAGAAAAATACTTTAACACTCTTGTTATTTTGATGACATGATATTATTAATTAACTAGATGTTAATTATGAGAGGTCTACTAAATGTATATATATGTATTTTTTTATACATATAATCTGTTAATAACTCTGATTTTTGGTGACAAACACAACCTAAATTGTAGTCACCATTCTTTTTGTGTTCCATTTTGGTCTCACTTCTTTTACATTTACATTATTAACGTATTTGCCATTTTAGCGTTGTGAATCATAATTTGGGAGCCAATCATACTAGTTATGCATTAAAGATATTGCGAATCAAAATTTCATGTTATCTATATATATATATAATATACTCAAATTAATGTACACATCGATTTTTTAGAAACATGGTTTTATAAATGCAATGAGAATCAGGAATTATTTTATAACATTGATATATTGGAGGAAACCAACATGGAAGACCGGATTATTTTTTTTCATTTTATTTATCTTTTCATCAAGAATAACATCATTACTGCTTACTAATTATTTGATTCTTGATGAAAGAATTGAAATATGATATATTGAGGGTAATAAAGTAATTTTTCAATTCTTGTGACAACTGTAACATTCATCAGGCATATATGGTAAACAAAAAGTTAAAAAATGTTATTGGTAAGAAGAAAGGCCACTTCATTGTTGAGCATGTGGATAAAGAAATATTTTATCTTCAAATTTATTATTTAAAAAAATAAGGAAAGAATTCAGACAAGTGATAAAAAATTTATTTATTTATTATTATTATTTTTATGGTAACTATGTCATTAATAAATGTTACCACCAACCAAATAAAATATTTTTATTATATTTCTATCATTGTCCTTTATCTTTTTAAAAAATTTCAAATTTTGTAACTATATATATTTAAATTAAAAAGGACAATTTGGTAAATTTAAGAGGGGACAATGCATTAATTGCATGTCCCCTTAAAAACTTCAATTTCTAAACATGAATTTCTATTAAAGGACGAATGGAGTATACAAGTATCTCTATATTACAAAATTGGATAGACTCAGAAATTGTCAATAGAATGGACTAATAATTTTTTTGATTCTGGACTAAGCTGGGTTAAATTTAGGTATTTTTGGGTGGGCTTGAGCGCACCCAACCCCACCCATGGATTCGCCAATAATTGTGAACCAATTCAATTATTTTACCTCCAAACCAATTTATTTATTTATTTGACACCAACAGAGAAACTGAATTTAAAGAGAAGATGAGAAAATACAATCTAGAAAAAGAGCATTTAATAGTTACTTAGGCGACTCACAACTCAAGATCTCCACATTCGGTCATTAAGGCCTTCCTGCTCACTAAATGGGCTACAACATTGTCCCGTCTTGGCACCTAGTTAGTGAGCAAGAAGGCCTTGTAGCAATGGAAGGAATTTAGTTTTCACTAAGGGTCCGTTTTGTTAGCAAGAAGCAGCAAGAAAGGAAAGGAAAGAGAAAAAATTTAGTTTGGGGAATGTAAATTTCCCGTATTTGAAAATTTTCTTCAAATTTTTTCGAGCATCAAACACACGAAAATCTACTTTCTCGTGAAAGTTGTACACTTTATTTCTTGCTTTTCCTATTATGCCCATATCTATTGTCTAAACTTGATAGACTATATTGAAAAGGAAAAGTTTACTTGTTCTGTAAATTACTTAATTTGTCTATTACTAATTTAATTGTTTGTAATTTTATGTGTGTTTGTAAAATTAATTTAATTTTTTCTTCCATTATTAAATTATTATTTTTCAATGATGGCCGCAATTGCTCAATTTTTCGCAGTTGTTAATACTATTATCTCATAAACCATGTCATCTCAAGACAACATACAATAATACATACATATATGTATACATTAGCTAGAGTCCTACCGTGTTCCACTCATTGACATACATCTAATGACTCAAGATTTTGTTAACAATAGAACAGGGTTGCATAATTTCTTCCTAATAATAATAATCAATATTTTTTCATATACAGAAGTTAAATTAGTCAATTATATTAGTGCTTACTCAACTTTCAAAGTGTAAAAATTCGAGGGTTCTAGTCCTTGTAAAAAAATGCAAATTTTTTTATATGATATCACATATTATTCTTAATTAAGTATAAAGAATATTCGTCTAACTCAAATTTATTTATTTTATTATTATTTATAATTATAAGGGTATTTTTGACCAGTAGAATCATTTTTTTTTTTTTTTTCATGCTATCCAAATTAACAAAATAACATTTTCTCGCAACTTTCTTTAAAAAATTTCTAATTAACCAAATGCACAATAGAAACTTGATTTTCTTTTTTTTTCTTTCACTTTTATTTTTCATTAAATTTTCCATCTAACCAAAAGAACCCTAAAGGTGAAACCCAAGAAGCAGCCAAAAAAAAAAAAAAATTCTCATAGAATGTTTCAAACTTGGAAGCAGAGCAAGGAGGGAAGACTTATTTTAGAGGTGAGACCTTTGGTATGGTGGACGTTCCACTTAGACATGTGGCAACTTTAGATTTGAGGAAGAGTACGTGCCCTAAAATTGTGGCATGGGGTAAGAGGCGCGTGGAGAAGGAGAGTGTGTCCAAGGCTCTTCCATACCAGTACAAGGTCTTTGACTTTTTCATGGAGATGGCAAAGAAGTTTGGTGCTCAATAAAATTCAAGACGCAATAGTAAATAGATATAAAACTCATCTCCTGATCTTTTTCCCTTTCATGGATTTAGAATTTTGTTTTCTACTTTTTGTTTGTTGAGAGGTGTGTTGGTTTTGTTACATTTACAATGACTTCATGTTCTGTCCTCCAGCAATAAGAAGAAAATTCAAATGAGATATTTAGTGGGTGTTTGGGATTGCTTTTTTATTATTAAAAAGTATTTTTATTTTAAAAAATTACGGTCCAATGTGTTTGATGAAAAAAAAAAAAAAAAAAAAAAATACCCTTCTAAATGATAGAGGTTAGATCTAAAAAACACATTTAAATGAAGTTAGAAATCATAACTTTTAAAATTGCGTTAAGATAGATATGTTGGAAACGGGGGCATTAAAAATATAAACTTTGGATGAGATTTGAAATAGATTCCGCTAATAATTTTTTACGGATCTCTAGACAAGCGTGTTTCTCTCCGCAAGGAGATGAACGTGGTATATTTACTTTCTGAAATCCGTTTCTGGATGAATGAGAAATTAGCTCCAAAGTGTGGTGTTTTGATAAGCCTAAATGGGTATGCAAAATGTGGGAAGTGTTTGTCCCACATGGAAAAAATGTTGAAACAAATTGAAATTTAAATAAGCTGAGTTTATGATTTGGGCTTGGGCTTGAGCCTAATTGTAAAGTCCAGATTATTCTTTTTTGGAATTTTGGATTGGGCCTAATTTTGGGCTGGGCTTATTTAAATGGGTTTCACAAATGAGTGGGTTTTTTGGATGGTTGGCTTTTTGAATTAAAAAAAAAAAAAAAACTACTTTTTAGTTTTTCTAAAAGGTTACACCTTTTATATTAAAAAAACCATATTTTAGTTTTTCTAAAAGGTTACACCTTTTAAATTAAA